GTATGTTGTATGTATGTATGTTGTATGTATGTATGTTGTATGTATGTATGTTGTATGTATGTATGTGTGCATGTATATATTTATGCGATGGCCTCTTTTTCGCTTGATTGTTCTTTGTCCTGTGTTTTTGGCCCTATTTCGTCAATTTTTACAGTAATTTAACTGCTGAATTTATATTTTTATTGCATTTTTGAACAATTTTTTAGCTTGGCCAAAGTTTCGGTTAAATTGGCGAAATTTTATGCTTTCCCCTTGCCTCTCCGCTCCTCCAGGTAGTCGGCCTTGACGATTCCTATCAGAGCGTTGTTGACGATTTTTCGTTATTGTTTGCCGGGTATTAGACAAATAACTCGAATTTGTTTTGAAAAGCTGTCTATTATAAAGGTTTTTTTCGGCTTTTTTGATTTTTATCTTGAAATTTAGAAAAAGGAGAAAATGGTTGACGCTGTTTGCAAAAAAACTTCATCATCACTATTATCATCAACGTCATTATCATTCTCGTCATTTGTTTTACAGCTGAAAATATTTTATCGTTATTTAATTTCCTCAACAAATATTATATATTTTCTACTGCCACTGTCGACGTATTTTTCTGAGACTGCTATTACTACTGCTATCTTGTACTCATCATCATCATCATCGTTATTGTTGATGTTATCGTCGTTTTTGTTGGCCTTACTGAATCGAAGAACAAGTTGACGTTTGAAACAAGAAACGGCTAATTTTTTCCTTTTCTTTTGCTGGAACTGGAAAACTTCGTAAAGCAAGCAGGACTTATTCATCCACTGCTTTGACCTGTTTGAATTAGTCGCTGTCTCAATTATTTTCTTGGATTCGCTAAATTAAACTGCTTGAAGTCAGAAATTGCAATAATGATAATAGAAATACAAACCCAAGTTTGTTTCACTTTGTAACTCATGATATAAAGAATGAGGGGAATCAGGTACCATAAAATAATGTGAGGTGGAGGATGCAATATTAGTGAGGGGACACAAAAACAAACTTTGGAACGGGAATTTCACTGAGGATCGCTGAGATTAGTTGATGGTTGCTAAAAATGTATTTGAGAAATGGCGAAAATTTAACTGCAGGGGTTGCCTGCACGAGTTGGTACTGTTTTGTTCAAAAAAATTGACCTCCACCCGTTTTTTTTATCACCGCTTTACATTTCACTATTTAATTTATTTTCGAGGGATTAGATTAGTAAAGAGAGGGTGGGGCGCTAGGGGGAGGGAGGAGGCTGTGTTTTAGTGAAAAATGCGTTTACTGCTGTTTGTGTTTGAGTAGTATGACTGTTGTTGTTGAGGAAAATGCGAGTTTTCTGAGGGAGATCTGTTCTTACGTAGTAGATAAGAGGCTGCATGGAGTTTAAAGAGGTTTTGCCTTAGGAGCTCAGGCTATAGCTGCTGCGGCTGCATCGTAGTAATGCTGCGAGCTTTACATCTGATGGTCAAGAGCTTCTTTTGGGTATGCGTTTTTAGCTAACACTGTTTTCGTTACACTTATGAGACAGCATTAGTTTGGTCCGTCCACTTATGATTTGGTCTTATGGACGTTACTTATCATTATCAGTCCAGGTGCCATACTAAGATAAGACCGATATAACCCAGTGGACTGAAAAGACCTGTCCTAGCTGGTTTTGATTCCTTCCTCCCTCTACTATTATCTTTGGATGCATGTAGATTCAAATGCAGTGGAATCGTTGACACTCTTAGCTGAAAATCTGCTTCGCATTTTTAGTTTTTTTGGAATCTACATAATTTCCTGGATTGGCTTCTGAAGGGATATGCTGTCAGCAGCGACAAGTGGCCAGCAGCAGCAAAAACTTGGTATTTTGGTGCAGATGATAGCAGCATAAGGAGTAGCAGCAGCACTATATCATTGGACTCGTACGATGCAGCTGCTAGTGATGTCTGCCGTAGTTATGACGATGATGGTGATAAAAACAGTGATTCTGTGGAAATATCGGAAGATTCGGATTCTTGTCTCCACGCCGAGCAGCAGTTCTTGGCTGCTGACAGCAGCACCACAGAAGCCCAGTACCGTAATGAGCCAAATTTTACCCAGTTTTCTTTGTGGTCGTGCCCAGAAAATGACCGGAATCAAGAAGAATCGCAGCCTTTGTCAACTGATATTTTACGGCAGCGAAAACTGTCCCAGCTGTGCTGCAAAAATCAATTCACATGTTACGATTATCAGTATTCATTTCTACCGCCGGGATCACGATTTACCGGAAATAGCTGCAGTACCTCAACAACAACAACAGGTTCATACTCAGACTTATCACTGGTCAGTTCAAACTCACTGTCATCCGCTTATTTCTCGGACAGTACATCGCTATCTCCGGCCCCCACTATTTTTCAATTTTCCAACGATTTTTTGGAGGAGGCTAAGTCAGATGGAGAAAATTTGGCCGGTAATTGTGGCCAAGGATTTCCTCAACAGATAGCAGGCTCTGTTGTGCCATCTTCGTCCACGGTTAAGGCTGATAAAACGGTCAAGAAAACTGGTGTTTCTGTCGAAAATGCACAAGCTACTGCGACAAATCCTGCGTATTTTGGCACTTCTGCTAATCCCGGATTGTTAGGCTCCAGAAATGCTGATACTTCGGAACCGAAACAACGATTTTTGTCAACAAGTGAAATTGGCAGTTCCAGTAGTAGTATCTGTGAGAACTGGGAAAGCCTTCTGTTCTGTTCAGATGATGAAAATATTCGGCGCTACGTGAAGCGTGCCTTCAAGTACAGTCGTGTGTTTGAAATTCTTTCGATATCAAGCAATCGTTTTCACGTTTCGCCCTACTCTTATGGCCTGGGCCTACCACTATCGTATCTGAATAGTTGGTGGCCACAGGTAGGCTTCCAGGCTGATGTTAACTGTCCAGAGGCATATCAAAAGCCGCCTTCTAGACGAACCACGCACTGTTTCACACGAAAGAAGAAAAAGAAGAGGAATGAACGTAAAGGTGAGCAGCAGTTGCGCTGGGAATTTTCTGAAAGCCATGAAATTTTTCTCTTTGTTTTCCTCTGTAAGAAAGGATCTGTGCTTTACGGACTGTGTAACAGTATTTTCCGAATTCCTGCTCAAAATTCCAGTAAATTAGTAGGCAAAATATTAAGGCAAAAGATAAAAAAATTAGAAAATTTCATAGAAATCCCGTAGCATAGAAAAAATCCCGTAGCTAAAATTTCAATTTTGCATGGCGAGAACGGTAAGACATTGGAAGAATTTATGTGGAAGGTTCCGATAAATCGGATATGACAGCAACCCGTAATGGGCATTGTGGATAAATTTCTGGTGAAAACTTTGTGGCTGAAATGAAGGAGAGTCGGGTTGGGTGAAATGAGTATGGTGGGTGGTTCTTTTTAAGATTTTCAGAATTTTTACGAAGATTTGTTTGGACATGAATGATTGGTTTTCTTCGGTTCTGTTATGGATGTAAAATCAAGAATACCAAGGTCGCCCGGATAATCGAGCCGGAAATCCAACATTAGTGGTGCTAGAGACTATGCTAGATCGTACTTTCTTGAGCTGAATACCGCCAATTGGTACCCGTCGTCCTTCTGATATATGCTTTTCTAATAATCAGCTCGAATAAGTGATGTAGAAATCAAACGAAGCTGTGCCCGGCTTTTTGATCCAGAATTGCTTGTTTTCGCGCAGGGTAATGTAGGACATAAACCAGGTGAGCAGATGGCAGTCATGTACAGTTGCACTTTTAGATTTGCGAGAAAAAAATCCAAAATGTAGACTTCAGAACTGTTATAAATGTGAAAATTTACGGTCCTTTTCTTCTGCTAATTCAGAAGTCGTTTTATTTTCTTAAATTCGTTGGATTGTTGGGTTTAACTGCGTTGATGTCAGATGCGAAATTAAAATTCTAAAACAAACTGAGGTATTCACCGGTGATGGTAAGTTATAGAATTCGAAAAAAAAGCAAAGAAATAACATATAGCATCAGTTTATGTTTCAGGTGAGAGCGGGTACCATAGTGAAAATTCAACGCCGCCTCTGCCAGCAGAAGCTGAAGGTATGTTTATAGGTTAATTTATTACAGATGCATGTTTCAACCCCTCTGTGGACAATTAGCCCCGTATTCGATTCGTTCATTTCGTTTCGGTGACAGGTAGAACATTTTTTGCACAGTTACTCAAACATCAAGCGAAGGCTATTTTTGCTTTTTTACAGCGAAGCGTGAAGGGTTTGGTTTTTCCGAACTCCGAATTGTGGACTTTTTTCGAATAATTAGTGGAACTGGATTGTTTTATTTTTTGTTAGTAGATGCGGGATTTTTTCCGCATGTTTTTTGTAAAAATATCACTTTTAGGTGCACGTGAAACTGTATTAATCGAAGGCCGAAAGACCTCCGAATCGTTGGATTTCCCAGGCAGTAGTAACATAACTGAAGAATCGAGAAAAGGAGATCCGTCAGAAAATGCTCGCTCCGGAGAGGACAGTTCGAGTAACGGACTTATTTTTTTATACTTTTGTGTTTTGTGAAATCAGATTTCGTTTTTCAGTTATTTGTTTGCTAGCAATCATTCAAGTGGCCTCTAGCGGCGGTGACAGGTGTTGGGTACTAAATGGGACAGCTCATTGCCGAATTGCCTGGATTAGCTGCAACCGGCGTGTGGTTGCATCCTAATAATGTCACTAGCATGGGATTGCCAAATTGATTGTCGAGCGATTACCAAATCGGTTTTCGTAAATCGTCATTAGGATGGGAATATCGCAGATCGCAAACGTCGCAAATTCTCGCAAACTGCAAA